TTTATTTAATAACCACATGATTAGAAGAAGCATTTCATTACAGCATTAACATATTCAATAGCAATTTCCAGAGCAAAGATGCATCTCTTTCAAAATTGGCTGCAAATTTTTAGCTTCACAGTTGAATTAATACAGTTATACAATATTGAGCTCAGTACAAACCCTGTAAGACATAAAATTGAATGAGTTTTTAACCTTTAAAAAAGATCTCCATTTCATTTTAAAATATACTGTTTCTTACAGAAAGACTCATTGTTTTTGCTAGTAACGCTGAGATGTTGGCACATGCATCTCTAATCTGGATGTATCTGATTATCATTAGTCATAGTCAGTTGCACTCGGATCCTTGGCACCTGTGTATGGCTATAAAATCATTGGGTAGATTTCAATGGTAATATTTATCACCTTTACTAATTAACATGACATAAATTTTTATGCTTTCTCCTCAAATATAACTCATTTAAAAAAATTTGTTAGATTTTTTGTGTATATCACACAGAACATCCCAAACCATCTTATTCATCTATACACCCACTTCCCAGATGTCACCCTCCCATAGCCTCCCCCCCACCACCACTAGAGCCCTTATACTCTGTCATCCCTGCTACTGTCCACTGTGTTGTCGGCACCCCTATTTATTTGGTGTGTTTGTGTGTGTGTGTGTGTGTGTGTGTGTGTGTGTGTGTGTGTATGATGGTGGTGGGGGTGCCCATGGGTGCCACAGAGTATGTGTGGAGGTCAAAGGATAACATTTTGAGAGTGGGTTCTTTGCTTCTACCACATGAGTTCTATGGATGGAATTCAAATCATCAGGCTTGGTGGCCTCTTTACCTGCTGAGTCAAAGAGCCATTTATTTTTTACAAAGCAATTTGCTAAAAGTACAACTCTAATCATGTAAGGCCACATACTAAGCCACCCACAGATGCTCTGGGATTTACTTCGAAGACTCAGTGGTGCTTTTGGGCATTGATGAAACAAGAGTGGACTGAGGTAATGGTTGACGGAGTTGGGTGAGGACACAAGGGGGCTCAGACGCCTCTTTGTTTCTGTTTGAAATATTTGATAACACATTTTTGAGTAAGTTAACTCAAATATTTTCTCAAAGTGTTTCTTAAGGCAGGAGCCACATTTTCAATGATACAGCTTTAGTTTCATTTAATTTAGGAGGATGAAATCTTAACCTGATAAAAGAATTCATTACTACTATTATAGCACTGTCTCCACTGACTGCTGATCACTTAAATTTATAAAAGCAATTCTCAACTTTAGTTAAACTTTGGAATCATGTAGGGAAACTTTAACAGACCACAGATGCAACAGCATCTGGCCAGAGGTCAGAATCTCTAGACTAAAATCTTGGCAGAGATTGGAAATCTGTTTTAACAGTCTCCCCAGGATGATTCTGATGCCTAGGGAAGTTTGAAAACTCCTGGAATTTGGGAAAGATATCACTGAGAAAGGGTCATATGTGTTAAGCTTTAAAAGTTATGTAACGTCTTAGTGTCAGGCAGAGGTTAGGGGAAGGCATTCTTATTTATTTGGCCATCTATACCTTTGGCATTGTTTTGAACTTTTAAGGATTTTGTGTGTTTACTATAGGTACTTTGGTTGTTGTCATTTTTTGTTGGCTTTGTTTGCTTATTATGGTCCTGAAGATTACATGCAGGGCTTTGAGTATGCTAAAACACAAATGGTATAGATAGATTTACCACAGTTTGTTTAACCATTCACTGTTAAAGGACATTTAAGAATGTTTTTCTAGTTTATGCCTATTATAAGTAAGTCTACTCAAATATTTAGGTTTTAGTTGTTTGTTGTTTTTGTGGACATAAATTCCCATTTAAAAAAATGTCAGAAGGGCAGTTGCTAGGTTATATGGTAGTCACATTTGTTTCTAAAGAAACTGCAAGGGTAAGGGAGGGCATCACAGGATTATTGTGTGTGCTTTATCATACAAGGCCCTAAGTTCAATTTCCAGTACCAAAAAGGAGGGAAGGAAGGAAAGAAGGAAGTAAGGATTTCTTTCAAGATAGCTTTATTTCCTCCTAGTAATGCATGAGCATTCCAGTTTCTCCACATTCTCTTCAGAATTTGATGTTGTCACTCCTTTTTCCTTATTCTGATACATGTGTGCTAATATCTCATTTGGCTTTAATTTACATTTCCCTAATGGCAGATGATGTTGAATTTTTATTTTCCATCTCTATATTTTCTTTAGTGAAATGTCTTTGTGTCTTTTTTTTGCTTCTGTTTTTGATTTTTGGAGAGAAGGTCTCATATAGCCTAGGGTGGCTTTGAACTCGATATGTAGCTGAGGATGACCTTGAACTTCTGATCCTCCTACCTCTACCTCCCAAGTTCTGTGATTACATGTATTGTGATTATGCCCTGTGTGTATAACTGGGGATGGAATTCTTAATTTCATTTTCAGACTCATTACAGACTAGAAATGCAATGAATTTTTGTGTCCTGATCCTGTGTCCTACTAAACTAATTAGTTTTTAAGTGAATTACATAGGTTGTTCTTCTTTTTGATGCTAAAATCGCCCCATTGTAGGTTCATAGAAAGCCCATTAAGTTGGCTGTCGTGACATTTTGGTACTACCAAATTGTCTTTGATAGTTTTCTAACTTTATGATATAGTAAGATGTCTATGGTCTCATGCTGTTTATCCAGTCTTAGAGTCAGTCATTTTCCCAAAGATTTTTGGTTCCTTTCAGTAAGAAACTATATTTAATAACAACAATAACTTGGGCACAAAATGAGCTGATTTGATCATTACTGTTGATTGGTAGAAGCCAATTAGAAATGCCTGCGCTGCATAGTAGCATTTCTCAGTCTTAGCTGCAGTTCACACTCACCCAAGCACCTTGAAAAGTATACATTAAGTAGTAAGATCTGAGTGAGGTTCAGTCCTTCAACACTGTGTATGTGGGGGAGTGGGAGAGTGTTGCTAGGGGTGGAGTCCAGGGTCATGTCTATATGTTCTAGGCAAGTACTGTACCATTAACCTCACCCCAAACCTTCCTCATTGCTTTCGTTACCACACTGGAAGTTACAACTCACAAGACTGTCAACTGAATCCTATCTAGCTCTTAGTAAGCATTAAATAAATCTTACCTTTTTTTGCTTCTTTTTATCTGCTTCCTCTTGTAGGTCCTGAAGGGCCCTTTCTGTGAGTTTCATGTTCAAGTCTTGCTCTTCTCTATATTCCTGCTGAATATACTCTATCTTCTCTTGCACGGCTTTCTGCAAAACGCTCATGATTTCCCGTTTTGTCTTCTGTTTCTGCAGCTTCTCTTGTTCATTCTCAAATTTAACCTTTGCATTGTTCTCTTCCTAAGGTAGAAAAATGAAGACGATGCAACACAGTTAAAATAATAATGCATTTGCTCTAAGAAAGGCAACTAAGGAATTTCTTAGAAATATACATATACATACATGTGAATTTAGAGGGGATGTAGAAATAAAGCTTGCTTGTTTTTTCACAGCTGCGTTAGACATAAAGCTTTATAGAAATTGTTCTGTCTGTGTGTGACGGTAAAGTGGTCAGTATGTGTGGAGTACAAAGGGAAGTCACCTTTGATCCCAGTATCCACCACCCACCATGGTGGCCCACATGTTAGCCCATTCTTCCAGGATTTATGCTTCTAGGCACATCTGTGTATCTAGACTTGAGTGTATTATTAAGGAACAACCAGAGTTCAAAAATGGCCTCATGGACCAGCCCAGACTTCCAGGCAAACTATTAACAGAGCTGAAAACTGTGCTGCACGCATCACCACACCACAGGCATTCGAAAGGGCTCACCAGGTAGCGTGCCTCCTCTTCCTTCAGTCGCTGTGCAGCCTGTCTTTGTGCGTGGATGCTGGAGATTTGGGCATTCAGCCCCAAGCGTGTGTTCTCCACAAGCTCTCTCTGTCTCCTCTCTTCTTGGGCTTCTCGCTTTTCCTTGGCTAATCTGTCTTCCTCCCAGAGTCTTGCAAACATCTTCTCCTCCACCAGCTTTTGCCTCTTCAGCTCCTGGTTGAAAGCCACCTGTGCATTCCGCTCCTCACCCACCTTCTTCTCATGGAGGGAAAACAATTTGGTACGGAGCTCCTCACAGCGTTCCCTGAAAGGGAATTGGTTTTTGTTTTTCATTATCTGTTTTTGACAGGGCCTTCCTAGCCCCAGTCCACATAGAACTCACTATGTAGCCTAGACTGTACTTGATCTCACAGAGATCTGCCTGCCTCTGCCTGCCTCCCACGTCCTAAGGATTAAAGGTGAGCGCCACCATGCCCAGTATTTAGGGAATTACTTTTTAAAAGGCAAACCCTAGCTTTTCATGAGGTGCTGCTCTATTTAAGCATATATACACACAGTCATAGCAGAAGTAAGAAACCATCTGTGGTACATGAGCCCCAAAATGTAGGTAAGTAAGCTTCATGACCTAGAGATTGCTGTCTTTCCTATGTGCTCTGAGGAGTGAACTCCCACCCATTCACCTTACCCTTGAATGCACTAACATAGTAGGATTAACACTCTTTTACTCAAGGTTATAAAATAAGAAGTTACAAAAATAAGAAAGACAACCAACTGTAAACCTACCAGATGTAACTGACAACATAGTTTGAGGTCAAGCTGACCACAATGCTTCTGTAAACATTTTTGTCTGTTTTCTTTTCTAAGAATGTTCCTTTCCATACTTCTCCCACAGATAGAATTAACCAATCATATAACAAATGCTGAGCAAACTGCTGGCACATGTTATTTTTACTATAAAATGACATGCAAAACCCCAGTCCCAGGCCCAGGTTTATTTTGGAAGTTACTCCACCTGGGTTCTGTATGGTTAATAAAGCTGTTTTCTTGTAAGCTCAAAGATCTTATCTACTTGGAGGATCCACTCCAGCTGTGTCTTGAACCTGCCTTCTCCTAGGCCTACCCTGAACTATTTTTGGACTCTGGGGAGTGGGGCCTCTTTTTGGCACCTGCAATGGTGTCATCCCAGTGAGTGCAACAGAACCAGGGAGACACAAGAACGAGCAGAGGAAGGTACTCTTTTGGACCCCAAGGTCAAGGTACAGACCCACCACAGGTGGTGGTGAGAGGAGAGTGTGATCAACTCTCTCAAGCAACTATAGAACACTTTGGTAGAAGTGGAAACTACAGCCCTGGGTTTAGAGTGGTGGGTTAGAACTTGTTTGGTATGACTATGTATGACAACAAGGAGGCTCAGGCCAAGTCTGACAGGCCCAAGCAAGTGCTGAGTCCCGTTCTGTGGGTCCAAGGTGATAGCCTCAGAGGACTTAGGGCAGCTTTTGGATCTTCCCATTCAGACTTGCAAGCTGAGTCCACCATACTAAGAGGTGCTGAAATTCTCTGCTACGAGAGAGGTTGGAGACGGACAAAGTGATTGTGTAACCCTTCTGTATAAATCCCCCCACCTCCTCATTTGTGTGAGAGTCATCTACTAGAAGGAAGGAAATGGGTGGACATTGTGGCAAAGTAACAGCCTTGGAATACATGCTAAGAAATTTTAAAAGGGGATTTCTAAACTCTGAGGAACAGTATGGTATTAACACCTGAGAAACTGAGAACTCTGTGTCAGAATGGCTCTGATTTGGGATAGGACAGCCCAGCACCGGATCTCTGGATTTGAGATTGATAGAGGGGTTTTTAAATATAGCAACTGACCTCCAAAAGGGCATCCCAACCAATACCTGTACATTGCAATCTGGTTATAGGTGGTTAAGAAGAATCTGATCAGGCTGCATAAGTGTTTTTGAGGAGGAATGTGAAGTAATGACAACTCAAATAAGATCTGTGGCCCAGAGATGCTGGAAGGAGTCCTCAAGGCAAGAGAGTCTGGAACAACTCAGTAACCTGAAGTCTTGCAGGGTGAATCAGATTCCATGCCCCTGTTCTCTCAATCAACCCCTGTGGCACCTACAGCACCTCCTGAAAATGGGAGTGGTAGAAGAAGCAGACAGGACACACCTAGACTGTAGCCTGATTCCCAGTCAGTCCACTCAAAGAGTCTACTAGTGAAACTTTGAGAGAGGAAGAAGAAAGGGCACCTATCGCAAGGCCACCAGTTCCCTCTCCTCAGAGGTCCCAAAGACCCAAAAGGAAAACTCACATTCTAGATTGCTTTGAGATAAATGAGAGGCCCTCAAGAGACAGCCGAGGATGGGAATCCAAAGCCATGGAGACATATCTATATTTACCAACCTTTTCTGCCAGGCATGGTGGCACACACCTTTAATTCCAGCAGGAGGCAGGAGGCAAAGGCAGGTGGATCTCTGGGAGTTTGATCTACAAAGTGAGTTCCAGGCCAGCCAGTGTTACAGAGTGAGATCCTGTCTCAAAAAGTAAAACAAAACAACCGCCCCCCACAAAATCAAACAAAAACAAACAAATTAACAAATCAACCCTTTTCTACCACTGATTTACTCAGTTGGAAATGAAATTTCCCTTCACAAACTGAGAGCCCTCAGGCTATGACTGAGTTGGCACAATTATACAGATCTACCTGCCCACCTGCATAGATTGCCACCAATTACTCTTTGACACTAGGAAACACAGATGGGTGACCCAGGCAGCTGTCAAATTGTTGGAGGAGTATTCCCCAGCAGATGAGGACTATCCTGAGAAATATGCAAAGCAGCATTTCCCTAAGGAGGAACTAAACTGGAATCCAGGAATTCCAGATCAGTTAACAGATCTGGTGACCCTTAGGAAGGCTATATAATGGGGGAATTAAGGCTGGAAGAAAAAGAACCATAAACATGAGCAAAATCACCAAGGTCTTCCAAGAGCCCCAAGAAAGTCCCAGTAAATTTTATGAGTGGCTATGTGAGGCATATCAGCTCTATACTCCTTTAGACCCCGAAGTCAGAAAAAAAAAAAAGTTATTAATACTCCTTTTGTGAGTCAGGCATGAACAGACATACATGAGAAGCTACAGAAATTAGAAGGCTTTCTGGCAAAAACATCTGAATTTCTGGAGGTAGCTACAAAAGTTTCTGTAAATAGGGACCAAGAATTAAAGAGACAGGAGGACTGAAAGATTAAAAAGGAATGTAAACCATATTGAGGTCACCAGGAAGGGAGAAATGCCAGGGTCCCAGGGCCAAGGAAGGAGGACTGAAACCCAGCACAGAAAGAGTCCTCTCTTAGGATGGGATCAATGTGCTCAGTACTGTGCAGAGAGGGCACTGGAAGGATGAATGCCCTTACAGAGATAAGGAGGCTCATTGTAGGAATGACTTATAAAAGCAGACTAGTAACTTTGAGTTAACCCTGGCGAACTCACTGAACCATGTGCTCTTGTGATCTAGGCACCTGATCTTGATGCCTTGAAGCCCTAATTTGCTATTCCACCCCAAGATAATGAATGAATGTGGGCATGCTTGAGAATTAACTATCAAGGCTTTGAAAGGCAATGCATGCATCCTCGTTGAAAATTATAAAGATTGTGAAAGGGTGCTTGGCATTGTGTTTATAAGATAGTCTATATTAGGGTTTCAAACTACAGCAGCCCTCCCCATCTCCAACATGGTCTCACAGACTTCAGATTTCCCAAGCCCCTGAGAAGAGGAAACTGAGCTGATAAGCACCCTTGTCTTTGAAGTCAAGGGAAGCAGACTCTTCTAAAAGGCAACCTGCCTTTCCTTTGATCTCCGAAGACAAGATAAGCAGACTCCACCTTTCAACCAGAGACTTCAGGAGCTGCTTTAGTACAGCAGTTTTTCCCTTATCTTAATAGGACAAAAATAAACACTTCCTGACCCAGATCCTGGCTGGCAGACAGAACGGAGCCAGGTTTATAAGTCCCACTTTTCCTGCTTTCTGCCCCCCCCACCTAATTTTTTCCAAAGAACTTCCCGCCTTCTGCACCCCAAAGTCCCCTTATATAAGCCCCAGCTCACAATCCGTGGGCTGACATTTTCCCTTCCCTGAAGGGAACGTGTCCCATGTGAAATAAAACTCTATCCAGCTGAGAGTTTTATCTGTGTCTTGGTGCTTTTTCCCGATCAACCCTATCCGTTCATTCTCTGGCTACTTTTTACCTATCAGATGGTGCTAAAACCCAGTTCTTACTTTGAGGGACCTCACACATAAAACATCTGGATTGCTTGCCATTATTGGCCTCTGCAAACACCACTGATTCAGCTTCAAGGTACACTCCCACCCTTCCTTTCTCTCTCCTTTCCTTTCTGTCTCTCTCCTTTCCCTTCACTTCTTTCTGGCTCTCCTCCATTTTCTTTTCATCTCCTTTCTGATCGAATTTGGTCACTCCTGGACCTCACTCAAGGCCATTGGACAGCACTGGTTTCCGCAGCCATTGAATTGTCTGGGGCAATCACTGTGCCTGCCCACACCCACCTAGGAGTGGGACCTGTTCCCCATCACACTCAAATCCTTTTCCCTACCTCAGCTCCCTTCCCTTCCCTATCCTCACTCCTTGCTCCTGCCATCTCTTGCCTTCCTTTTTGCTCTCTCTCTCTCTTGCTCTCTCTCTCTCTCTCTCTCTCTCTCTCTCTCTCCCATTTCCCGCCCCCCATTCACTGGCTACTCTAAGTTCCATCTTGTCCCACTGCTTTCCCCATTCCCAGTCCATCTCAGCCGGCTGGCCCACTACCTCCTTTTCTTGTACTTTGGCTCCATCTACTGGCTGGTCACACACCATGTTGCAGAATTTCCTGCTCGTTTCACTCGCCTTGAGATCATACCAATATGTCAGGAACCTCTTTCCTGCCTCTGGATACAGGACGCTGTTTCCAGTGACAGGAACATGCCAACATGTTCTCGTATTTCCCCTCCCCAAAGATTGCAGGACACTGCCCTTGGGGCCTTGGGAATTAAAACTCGAAAATAACTCCAACCTGTGTAACAAAGAATGGACACTGTTTTGTTGCCTGGTTCTCGTTCTTGCTTTTACATGACCTAAGCCAAACCTTTCTCTTCCTACTCTCTCCTGTTTCTCTCCATTCTATGCTATTCTTTCCTGCCCCGACTACTGATCCTGCCTCTGCTCCCTCTGGACAAAAGATTCTCTTTGTTCCCCCTACCCACCTGCTGAGGTCTTTTCTCTATCTCCTCTTTGCTCTGTACATAATCTTTTGCTATGGGAACCACTCACTCAAAGTCTCGGGGTCTCACACCTCTTACTTGTCTTCTTAAATCCTTGAAACAGCTAGGACTTTCAGGCACAATCAGGCCAAAACACCTGAGATTCCTATGCACCACTTCCTGGCCTCAGTACAAGTTAGACAGTAACTCTGTTTGGACAGACACCAGAACCTTAAACCTCAGTATTTTAAAAGATTTAGAAAACTTCTGCCATCATAATTGCAAGCAGTCTGAACTACCATACATCCAAGCTTTCTTTGATTTCTGTGCTAATCCCTCCCTCTGTGTCCCATGTTCTTCCCATCAGGTTCTTCTGGCTAAGACAGTTTCACCAGGTTCCAATCCACCAGGGGCCTCTGCTCCTCCTCCTCCTCCTCACCCCTCCATCTCGGCTTTTGAGCCTGCCATAGCTGAAGAATTGCCCCCAATTAGAACCCAGCCCCAACCTCCTCCTGCTCCCCAGCCTGAGGCACAGCCAAGTCCTCCCCTTGCTCTCCCATCACTATACCCTCCCTTGCCTTCCAGTTCAGGGCCCAGCCCAACTCCCCTCCCTTCTCCACCTTGAACCCCCTCTCCATGATCTTCCCTCTCCCCTCTCCAGCTCTCTGAATCTGTCACTCCTTCCACTGATTCTCCTTTATTCAAAGAAATCCAGAATCTTAAACACCTCCTTACCAAATATTCCCTATTCTCCCCTAGTCTAACTTCTACCTCAAATACCTCATTTATCCCTCCTGTATCTACTTCTACTTCAATTCCAGACCCTGCCTCAGATACCCCTGCCCCTACATCCTCTCACAGACAGGACACCTCCCCACCTCTCCCACTTCAGCCTCCTCCCAGGACTCCCCTTCTTCTTCTCTACTCCCTCCCAACCCCTCTCCTGTGTCAAGCCATACTCGCTCCCACACCCAGTCTCAGCTCCTTTCCCATGGTATCTTTCCCCTGCAGGAGGTGGCAGGTGTGGATGGGGTAGTCAAAGCCCATGTGCCTTTCTCTCTTGGAGATCTATCTCAACTCGAATGCAGAATAGGCTCTTTTCCTACTAATCCTACACACTTCATACAAGAATTTAAATATATTACTCACAGCTATGATCTAACCTGGCACAATCTCTTTATGAATCTCCAATCCACCCTCACCCCGGATGAGATACATTGGATCTGGACAGCGGCACAGGAGTATGCTAATGAGCTTCATTCCACTAACCAAGCTCACCCTATTGGTACTGAGGCAGTTCCCCTTCAGGACCATGGGTGGAATTAAGGTAGTTAACTTTGAGAAGCTTAGGTTGATTACTCAGGGCTCTACTGAAACCCCAGCTGTTGGGGACTCCTGCTGTGTAAAGTAGCAGTTTCTCCATGTCCGGAAAGCCCACGGGCTCGGATTCAAATGCACAGACTCCTTTATCAGCAGGGTGCCTTCCCGGCATCTTCCTGACTCATCTTTTGAAGCAGCCATCACAGAAACATGGCCTCCGGCTCAGGAACTGCCAGCTTTTTCTGTGATTTTAAGGCAGTCTGGTAGCCTGGCAGGAGCTCACCGCCACATGTAAATGGGGCATCCTAAAAGTACCTATCAGCTAAGGTTTTCACCACTACCCTCACAGTATAAAGTATCTTGGTTTTCCCTCAATAATCGGAGCGGGATTACTAAGACTTGGAGCTGAGCTGAGTCACTGAATAAAGAGCTGTAACACGGACTAAGCTGAGTCCCGTGTCTTATTGCCTATGATCCAGCCTCCCTGGGGGGCGCTATCCTTCTGTCATCGACTCATGGAAATCCAGCTTTAGCCGTCCCGCACCTCTCCTCGTGACCCGGCAGCTGACGGGTCCTGAATTCAGAGAGAGAGTGCACAGGTGAAATTGGGGCAGAACTCGACCGGGCCAGCCCCGGTAGCAGAGGGACCCACAGCGGAGAAGCAGCGGAGAAGCAGGGGCCCACCAGCAATGCAGAGCAGACGCGCTGCGGGACCCGCCGCCTTCCAGGTGTGCGCAGGGGACCGGCACCACACTAGCAGCTGGTGCCCCGGGATCCCTGCGCACCCCATACCCCTCAGTTTATGGACTTACTGATGTCCTGGTACAGTATACCAAGTATGGCCCAGAGTCTGCAGTGGAACGGCTTATGCTTCACCACCACTTTATCTTACAATCAGCTCCAGATATTAGAAGGAAACTTAGACGTTTAGACAAGGGCCCTGAAACCCCCACTGGAGATCTGTTGGACATGGCATTTAAAGTCTTTTATAACCAGGAGGAACAGGAGAGGGCAGACAAGCTTACCCTGTCCAAGCAAAAGTACCAGCTTATGTTTACAGTCCTAAGGGCTCCTCCCAAGAACACTTCGAACACCAATGGGGCCCAACGACATCTGCCTTTGCTTCAAGTGCGGAGCGACCGGACACTGAGTAAGGCAATGCCCTAACCCACGACCGCCTCCTGGACCCTGTCCTTCTTGTGGGCAACAAGGTCACTGGAGAGTTTATTGTCCTTCTTTGCAGTGCCATGGAAGGCCACTCAACTCCCAGACTCAGTCTTCTTTACAGGGTTCAGTGAACAACCTTCTGGGCCTGGCGGCTGAAGACTGACAATGCCCTGGCTTCTTGGCCCCCACTGCTTCTATAATTATTACAACGGAGGAGCCCGGGGTTTCAGCCATGGTGGCAGGTAAGATTATTCATTTTATTCTTGACACTGGCACGTCATGGTTGGTTCTCCCTTCCTACTCTGGTAAAGTTTTACCCCCACAGATCTCTGTGGTGGGGGTTGATGGGAAGCCTCACAACACCAAATTGACAGGACCCTTAGCCTTTGTATTCTGGAAGGTGCCTTTAACTCACTCCTTCCTGGTTAGGCCCACTTTTCCAATTCCCTTACTTGGCAGAGATCTCATGCAAAAGCTCTCCTTGTCTATTTCTTTCCCCTTCTCCACACTCTCCTTTCCCCTGTACCTCCCCCTCCCCAAGCCAGATCATGCCCCCCCCTTCCGAAGTAAATCCCAAGGTCTGGGACACCTTGGCCCCAGGACTGGCCTCTCATCACACTCCTATCCACATTTCCTTGAAGGACCCCTCCCTATCTCCCAGAAGACTCCAATACCCAATTGCACTCAAACACCGCTATGGACTTAAGCCCATAATTCAAAGGCTTATGAGAGCTAACCTCCTTAAACCCACTCACTCACCATATAACACTTCCATTCTTCCGGTCCTCAAGCCTGATGGCTCTTACTGTCTGGTCCAGGACCTCTGGCTTATTAATTCATCAGTTATTTCCATTCACCCAGTCATTCCCAACCCCTATACCCTTCTTTCTCATATCCCCTCCTCCACCACCCACTTTACTGTCTTAGACCTTAAAGATGATTTTTTTCTCAATACCCTTACACCCCGACTCTCACAACCTCTTCGCATTCACCTGGGAGGACCCTAACACTGGGATGGCCTCCCAACTAACATGGACTGTCCTGCCCCAGGGGTTTCAAGATAGCCCTCACCTCTTTGGACAAGCTGTAGCCTGGGATTTAACTTCCCTAGACCTTAACCCTTCCACCATCCTACAATATGTAGATGACCTACTTCTTTGCTCCCCAACTCTCTCAGTCTCCAAGGCTCACACAATCAAATTCCTTAATTTTCTGGGGGACAAGGGATATAGGGTATCTTCAGCTGAGGCACACCTTTCTCTCCCTCAAGTCAAGTACTTGGGGTTCCTTCTCACACCTACATCCTGCTGTTTAACTATAGATAGAACAAATTATGTAAGGTCTTTAAAGCCTCCCACAACCAAGGAGGAAATTCTATCTTTCCTAGGCATCTTATCTGTGCACCTGGATTCCTAATTTTGCCCTCTTGGCAAAGCCACTCTATGAAGCCTCTGAAAGAAGCTCCTCTGAGCCCGTGGACCCCTTAGGGCCTGTTACCACAACATTCCACACTATCCTGGAAGCTCTCTTAAAGGCACCGGCTCTGGCTTTCCCTAACCTGGAATGTCCATTTCTTCTCTACATGACTGAAAATGAGGGCCAGGCATTAGGGGTTTGGGGACAGATAAGGGGTCCCACTTTTGCCCCAGTAGCTTAGCTCTCTAAACAGCTGGATACCACCATCCGGGGGTGGCAACAATGTCTCCGGGCTCTGGCCACCACAGCGATCCTGGCTCAGGAGGGACTGAAGCTTACTTTGGGTCAGCTGATCTCCGTCCTTTCCCCCCCACTGGCTTAAGGATTTACTAAAACACGTATCCTAAACTACAACTCTTTCATGTTACGTTTCTTGAAAACCCCTCGCTCTCCCTTGATTCCTGCCCTCCTCTCAATCCAGCTTCCCTCCTCCCTTCCAGGAAACCGCTCACTCACTTGTGCCTAGAGACTCTTCAGGAACTCTCCTACCAGGATCCCCTGATCTCCCCAGATCCCCTGCCAAACCCAACCCTGACTTGGTTTGTGGATGGGAGTCCAACTCTCACCCTGACTGGGTCTCGCAGGGCGTGGCATGCCATAGTGTCTCTCACTGATGTCATAGAGTCAGGACCCTTGCCACTTGGAACCACGTCACAAAAAGCCAAGTACTCACCAGAGCCCTGATTTTAGCCAAGGGACAGACGGTTAATATTTTTACAGATTCTAAGTATGCCTTCCACATACTCCATCACCACACCTCAGTATGGAAGGAAAGGGATCTCCTAACAACCAAGGGAACTCCCATAACTAATGGCCCTTTGATTCTTAAACTCCTGGAAGCTTCCTACCTCCTGACTAAAGCAGCTGTGATCCACTGTAGGGGGCATCAGCCTCTCACCAATCCCATAGCTAGAGGCAATGACCTATCAGACAAGACAGCTAAGGAAGCCAGTACAACCCTCCCCCCTTCTGATGGCTTACACTTCTTGGCACCAACAGGAATGTCCCCCTCTTATCCTGCACAACAACAGAAGAGCCTTCTGGACAAAGGGGCTGCCCAGGGGCCAGAAGGATGGTTGCTTCTATCAGACAAGTATTGCCTGCCTGAGGGCCAAACCTCCTCTACCTTAAGCCATTTACATGTTTTTCATGTAGGTACTCACTCACTTTACAAGTTCCTGGAGCCCCTCATCTATTGCCCCAAACTTTTTATGTTTCTCACAGAAGTCACCAGGCAATGCTCTACCTGCACTGTTGTTTCCTCACAGGGTAGAAGCCGCCCTCCTCCATCTTTCAAACCTCACCAGCACCAGGGGGATCATCCCAGGAGTAGACTGGCAGATAGACTTTACTCATATGCCTACTCACAAAAAGCTTAAGTATCTCCTGGTTTGGGTAGATACATTTTCAGGATGGGTAGAAGCTTTTCCCAGAACAGGTGAAACAGCAGATATCATGGCTAACTGTTTAATTCAAAATATTCTTCCTCATTTTGGTCTTTCCCTCAACTCTCCAATCAGATAATGGTCCGAGCTTTATCTCCAAAGTAACTCAGGCAGTCTCTCAGTCCCTGGGAATAACCTAGAGGTTACACATCCCCTACCACCCTCAATCCTCAGGGAAGGTGGAATGAGCTAACTCCCGTCTTAAGGACCACCTTACTAAACCCTCCCTAGAGTTACGCCAATCCTGGGTAACTCTTCTGCCCCCTGCCCTTACCAAACTGAGAGCTATCCCAAGGGCTCCTTCCTTCCTCAGTCCTTTTGAACTTATGTATGTGAGACCGTTCCTTCTCAACAACCCCCTACTCCAGCATCCCTCCTGTCTACATGGCTATTTACCTGCCTTCACCCTTCTAAGAAAACTTCTCAGGGAACATGCTGACGGAATTATCCCTCAGGCTTCTAAAGGCCAGATTGACCACCCACTTCAACCTGGAGATCATGCCTACCTGTGGGTTCACACCCAATAGAAAGGAGTGAAGGAAACCCTCCAGCCATGGTAGACTGGTCCTCACCTGGTGATCTTGTCTACCCCGACTGCAGCCAAGCTGTCAGGACAATCTGGTTGGATTCATCCCTCCAAATTAAAACTGGCCAAGGAACACAGTAAGTATCAGGCCACCAGTATCAGGCCTCTTAAATTGAAAATCTCAAGGATTCCTCCCTTAACACCAATCCAGGAATGAATTTTCTACTGATCCTACTTCTACTCTTCCCTCTGAACCCTACCTCAGCCATTCCCAATTGCACCTACCCACTGTGTCCTTATAGATTTGAAATGTGGAAGATTAATAATAGAAATCGAGAACTCGAGCTCCTTAGCTCTGCTACGTGCCCACTTTCTTATGTAACACCATTTCTCTTAAATTTGACATGGTAGATGCCTGCTCTGGCAGATTCCTCTGCTTCATAGATGATCAAACCAAAAGGAAATGCAGGGACCTGGGCAATTGGGAAGGCTGCCCCTCATGGAATTGCAACTATCATTGGCTGAGTGGGGTGGGCAAAAAGGGATGGGGTAGATATGAAATGAGCACAAACCAACTCACTTGGGCAACTGACCTGAAAGATAGTAAGGGTAGCAGGGATTCAATCCTACACAGACACAATCGGTATACACAAGGAGCCTGTGGAGAAGTGGTCTTCAAAATACTTAACCCGCACTCATGGACAGGGGACCCTATTGCTGCAGCAGGGATCCAATACACAGTGGCTGCTATAGACTGCTGGTGAGTAAAGATAAAAAAGGCTATCCACGACTCAAGGCCCCAATAGGCTATGAAAGTCCTGGATAAGACAAGGGGCTTGACAATGAAGCAGCTTCAATGCTTCAATGCCTCCCACAGCTTCTCTTGGGATTGCATTCTCACTTTATTGCTTCATCTCCTGAGGAATTTCTCTAGTGCTAATGTGTCCACTTGCTTCCTCTGTGCCCCCCTACAGGGCTCACTTCTCACTCCCCTCCAAGTTTACAATGTTACTCCCCAGTCTACTACTCAATGCTCTCAGGAATTCCTAATACATGGACCCCTGCCTGCCCCTCTCCTTTTTCTTGACAAAACAGTGTTGGACTCCACAAACCTCTGAATACCCACACTTATCAAGCTGAAATGTCACAATTAAGGACAATACTGCTCTAACTTCGGGACTGCTCTTTCTCTGTTCTTCCAAAATATACTCCTGCATCTCTCCACAGATTGAGGACACCTGCACTCCAGTCATTCTCATTCCCAAACTAACCCTATGCACACCAGGAGAGGTGTATGGTGTTTTATCCACAGGGAAAGAGGGGACCAGAACAAAGAGGTCAGCCACTTTGGCAGTCCTGGTAGGAGTCAGCCACTGGACTCGCAGCCAGAGGCTTGGGACACACACTGATCTCAACCCAGCATCTTTCCCAGGAAATAGAGGACCTCAGACAGGAACTCACCTCAATAGTGGAAAATACATCCCAGTCAATCCAGTTCCTACAAAAATTATCCTCCCTAGCTGAAGTTGCTCTCCAGAACAGGTGAGCCCTGGATCTATTAACTTCAGAAAAAGGGGAACATGTATTTTCTGGGTGAAGAATGTTGCCATTTTATTAACCAGTCTGGTAAGTTCAAACATGATATAGAACAACTTAAACAGGTAGCAAAAAAAATCTTTCAATTAAAAACTCCCAGTATCAACAGTTATCTCAATGGGATATTTTTACAGGATTAACTCCTTGGCTTCTGCCCTTACTTGGCCCACTGCTTTCTATCACTTTGGTGCTAACCATTGCTCCTTGCCTCTTCAGATATTTTCAGGACCAAATCTGAAAACTAATGCATACTAATTTAAATCAGTTGTTACTTTCCTTCCCTCCACATGTATATGAATGCCTGTCAACCATTGAGGACCCTGTTCAGATGCATGGAGAGAGAACCCCTACTGTCCAGTGGATCCCTAATCCAGCCTCTCCCCACATCGACCTCGTCCAGCAGGAAGTAGCAAGATGACAACGGCACTCCCTATCCTATAACACAAAAGGCTGGAATGTTAGGGTTTCAAACCACAGCAGCCCTCCCCATCTCCAACAGGGTCTCATGGACTTTGGATTTCCCAACCCCCTGAGAAAAGGGAACTGAGCTGATAAGCACCCTGGTCTTTGAAGTCAAGGGAAGCAGACTCTTCTAAAAGGCAACCTGCCTTTCCTTTGATCTCTGAAAACAAGATAAGCAGATTCCACCTTTTAACCAGAGACTTCAGGATCCACTTTAGTACAGCAGTTTTTCCCTTATCGTAAGAGGACAAAAACACTTCCTGACCCAGATCCTGGCTGGCAGATGGAAAGGAGCTGATTTTACAAGCCCCGCTTTTCCTGCTGTCTCTTCCCCCCTCGCTGCCTAATTTTTTTTCCAAAGAACTTCCCACCTTTTGCATCCCAAGCCCCCTTATATAAGCCCCAGCTCACAATCCGTGGGCTGACATTTTCCCTTCCCTGAAGGGAACATGTCCTGTGCAAAATAAGACTATCCAGGTGAGAGTTTTATCTGTGTCTTGGTGCTTTTTTCCCAATCAACTCTATCCGTTTGTTCTCCAGCTACTTTTTACCTATCAGTCTAGAACTAGGGATGAAAAGGCAAGATTGTCTGATAAGGGGGGATTCGAGTTTGTAGTTACCCAATTGAAGCTGGAAAAATGGTTTTGAATAAGATTATGGGTGAGGCCTGACTTGAGGACATGGTTCCAAGGGGCATCAGGGGAATGAGTGTCCTCCAAGTTTGGGCCTACTCTTAAAAACTAAAGTTAAAAATCAGGTTGTTTTATTCACGTCATTGTTACGTGGAATGGTAATGCCACAGCTCATACAAAAAGAGATAAAATACATAGAGATATAAACAATCAAGGCAGTCAGGATGAGTTATCCAGGGATATTATCAGTCACCAAGGCACCGTAAAAACAAGAGGAATTAGTTGAGCTGGCAGGAATGAGTTCAGATCAAGACTAGGACAGACCAGGCTCCATCTGTCTAGGCCCCTTGAAGCCTATGGTCAAAGTGACAATATGGGGCAACCTATTCAATTCATGGTATGGTAATATGGGTGTTGAATATTCAATTGTTACCCAAACCCAGTCACTAATAAATAAGTAACTTCTGTGGGAATTACTGGAGTTTGCTATGAGCTTGGAGATTTAATTTAGGTGGGCATCTGTGGTTACATATGACTTTCTGTATCTTCCTAATTGCTCTGTGGTGCTTATGGGAAGAGATTTAGTAGGAAAATTATAAGCCCAAATTATCTTTGACTCTAAGAGTCAAGCAACTATGTCATTCCCATGACCCATATGTAAAATTCTGTTTGACTTTTCCCTTGGAGGAAAAATTGAGACTTTTGACAGTAAAAGGCTGTGTTTTGCAGGCACCAGAACTCCCCTTCAAAGTTCTGGGAGCATGAGCTGAGGTCAATTCTCTAGTGATGGCAAGAAACAGCCCATGAGTAGTCACAGAACTAAAAAGAAGAATTGAACCCTTAATCAAAAAACAAAACAGTACACCCTCCCTAGATGGGTGGCCATGGGAATTCAAAAACAGTTGGATAGACTACTAACATAAAGGTTTTTGAGGACATGCCAGTGACCCTGGAATATACTGTTCTTGCCTGTTAAAAATCACAGGACAGAAGATCACTGACAAGTGCAGGACCCCAGGGCAGTGAACCAGCATTAACCTTCACCCAGTGGTTCCCAATCAGTACACTTTGTTTAGACTTATTCCAGCAGAGGCAACCTATTTCACCTGTTTAGACCAGAAGGCTGCCTTTTAAAAAATTCGATTGGTACCTCAGAGTCAACACATCTTTGCCTTTCAATGGGAAAAATACCCTGAATGGGGAAAAGGGGGCTCAAAGAGCACACCCACACCATTTTCAGCACTGCTTCAGCCTCAGACTTAAGAGACTTTACAGCGAAACAGTCTAATTGCACTCTGTTAAAATATGTAGATGACATGCCTTTAGCAGGATTGACTAAACAAGCCTTCCTGGAAGGAACTCATAGGTTACTATTGTTATGGGAAGCAGGTTATAAGATCTCCCCCCAAAAATGCTCAAATTTGCCAAAAGAAAGAAAATATGTAGGATTCTATCTCTCTCAGAAGAACACCAACTAGGAAAAGGAAGGGTGGTTTCTATGTATTCTATACCAGTTCCAGGATGGGAAGTTAGAGTTCATGTATGGAGGTGGGTTTTGTGGAATTTGGATTCCAAACTTCTAATAGCCAAGTTAATCTATGAAGTCACAAAGGGTGGTAAAAAGGAGCCATTTGTCTGGGAAAAGCTAAATAATAGTCATTAACAGCTATAAAGAAAGCTGCTAGTCACCTGGGCTGGGATTGCCAGATTTGACAAAGGCTTTATTCCTCTGCATGCATGAGAGGACCAAAGTGGTTATACGAGTACTGACTCAGACGCTAGGCTCCTGCACTGTCCAATAGCTAATCTGTCAAAATAATTGGACATCCTGGCAAAGGGATGGCCACCTGTTGGGTCTCCAGGACCCTCATAATTGTGGCATAACTTATGACGAGGCCTATGCAGGTATGTGAGCGCACCCATGTTATGCAATTCCATGGAGGTCAGAAGAGGGCTTTGGATTCCCTTGGAACTGGAGTTAAGGATGGTTGGTAGCCACCATGTGGGTACTGCACATTGAACCTGGGTTCTCTACAAGAGAAGTCAGTGCTCTTAATCACTGAGCCATCTCTCCAGCCCTGTAAGATGGAATCTTAAAGTGGTTTGAAATCTGAATTTCTCTAATTACTAAGGATACTGAGCACTTTTTAAGGTGCCTCTTGGCCATTTTTATTTCCTCATTGGTCCTCAAAGCAATAAAGGCCATTGCATCTTGGGTCTCCAGGACCCTCATAATTGTGGCATAACTTATGATGAGGCCTATTGTAACTTCCTGAGCCTGACTAAAGTTTGGCAATCTGTCTCTTGATCTGTCTCTGGCCGGTCACTGCCTCGCAGAGCTGACTCAGCAGGGCCCGACCTCGGACTGCCTCTCCCCAATCACAGCTGGTGTGGCCAATTCCCAGTGGCTCACAGCCATTGCCCTAGATGACATATACCTTTGCCCTTCCCTTTTCCAAACCCCCTTTTGTTTAAACTATATAAGGTAATGCCTGATGCAATAAAATGAGTTCCTGCCTCGACAAGACTCCCGACTCGGTGTGGTTTTTGAGTCGCCGACACACACAATCCCGTTCAGCCCCTAAGAGAGGAAGACAGGCTGTTCCTGGCCTCTCTGCCTGTGCCGTACCTGTCCGAGAGCGATCCGACAGATTGGTGGCCCGTGTGAGGTGCTGCCTATGACGAAGTTCGCTGACGGGCCAATGGATCTGCAGGTGAGTGTAGTCCCATAAATTATGGGGTAGTCCAATTCTAAGCCTGATTCCTCTTTAGATTCCCTCAGGGTCCTGCTCAAAAGCAGGAGCCTTGACCTTTCAGACAGCCAAGCTCTCCAGGCATGGGGATGCTTGCTAAAGATGCACCCTGGCTTCGGGAAAGCAATCTCTTTGATTGAGATACTTGGGATAGAGTTGAAAAATTAATCAAATGGGCCCAGATAGAAAAGGGAGAGATCCCCCCTCTGGGAGCACTCCCCACAGTATCTGCCTTAAAGGGCTGCTTTCCCCCATGTCCACCAAGGACAAAGGTGGTGGGGGCCCAGACTCCAAACCCAGCTAAGGCCACTGACTCAGTAACTGAGACACAGTCAGACTCCAAGCTGGATCCCCGGCCTCGGGTCACACAGATCCTCTGGATCGATCCGAACATCTGTATCCCTCCCTAGACCCTTTTGGGAGTGCCCCTTGGCCCTGTTAAAACCCTGTACCCTCAAAAACACAGACTAATACATTCCAGACTCCCTCTGCTCCACCCCTGTACAATGGCAGTGGGGTCATTGAGGAGGGGACTGCTCACCTCTTCCCTGTTAATGTGACCCGGGAGGTGACAGACTCGCCGCATGGTATCCATGGCAGGCTCAGGACCTTAAAGAGTTAAAGAAGGCCGTGGCCAAAGACAGTCCAAATTCTCCCTGGGCAGAAACTCTTTGCGAGGGACTTGTGCACCAAGCGTGCATGTTGCGGGACTGGAAAGACTTAGCTAAGGCAGTGCTCCCTGGCCCTATGCTCCTTAAGTGGCTGGCCTATTTCAGTGAAGAAAGTCGCATCCGCGGAGAAGAGAACCAAAGGGCCCAGCCTCCCATACCCATTACTTATGGCATGCTCTCCAGCACAGCTGATCAGTTTGCTACTGGGGCCCAACAGGCAGCCATCCCTCCTCCCTATCAGGATCAGGTTCAGGCCATCGGCCTTACAGCTTGGGGAAAGCTAGATGAAGGCCTTACTGAGTCTCCCATATCTGGGGTTATTCAAAAGGCCACAGAGGACCTCCCCACCTTTATAGACAGAGTGCAAAAGAGCCTGCAAAGAAAGTTTCCCCCAGGGGAATTGCGCGACCTGTTCGTCTGGTCGCTGGTTTGGGATGGCATAGCATTCGACTGTAAACTAGCTTGTGCTGGGCTGCAACATCAACCCATGGATAAGTGGATAGTGGCTGCCCGGGATGTGGGAACTGCGTATCATCAGTCTAGAGCAATGGCGGCTGCACTTCAGACTAGCCACCAGGAGGGGCTCCAGACCCTTATCAATGCCTTACAACAGACTAAAGTGTCCTATAAGAGGACATGTTTTGGGTGTGGCAAGGAAGGGCATTTTCAGCGGGAGTGCCCCAACCATACAAAAAAAACCCCGACTCGTCCGGGGGAGGGGGAGGCCCATGCACACCTTGTCCTAGATGTAAGAAGAGCTTTCATTGGGCGTGTGATTGCAGATCCAAATTCAACCTTAAGGGCGAGTCTTTAAACTCCCCTTGGGGCCAGCCCCAGCCCCGTTAAATAAGGGGAGCGAGCCATTTCAGACCCATTGGACAGTCCCATTAGTCTCTGGCCTGCGACCAAAGATGTCTTTAACCATAGGGAGTAAGACCTTTAAATTACTCATTGATACTGGTGCGGATCGCACAGTAATTAGAAAAGAAGAAGTTCTGCATTCCTGGCAGCTGGTGACTGGCCCGTCCCCACTGGGCGTGGGCGGGCAATCCACATTGCGGGGACAGGGCCACATGGCTGCCCTGGATTGATCCCAATGGAAGTCGTGGAGAGGTGCGCCCTCTTGTGGTCTCTGGCTTAACTGCCAATCTTGACATTCTGGATGAGGCTGAAGCCTTCATCACTACTGACCACAAGGTCTTTTATAATGATCTCTTAGACACCAAAGAATATAAACAGCATTTTGAGGAAGGGCAGATCAGTCACCCCAGTTATCGAGATGATCCCTATTTTGAACAGCTCAGATGAAATTACCCTCGGAATTACCCCCAATCCTAAGGGCCACTGTTCGTCCCTCAGTCACCCAAATTCAATGGATACCTGGGGAACCCGTATGGGTTGAGCAGTGGCCTGTCCCCTCACACAAGCTTCAACATCTTCATCAGCTGGTCAAACAGCAATTAGACCTGGGATACGTAAGGCCATCAACAAGCCCCTGGAATTCTCCTGTATTTATCATTAAAAAGTCCAGCAGCTCCTGGAGGCTATTAAAAGATCTTAGAAAAATTAATGAGAGAATGATGCCTTCAGGGATCCCCCCAGAGGAGATTCCCCTGGATTCCGACAATCCCCAAAACTTAATATTTAACTATAATTGATATTAAGGACTGTTTTTTCTCAATTCCCCTTCAC